AAAAAATATATTCATAAAAACTTTCGACGAAACACATTTTCATCGAAATTCTTTGACGGAAAAAAATTTCATCAAAATTCTTTACAGATTTCAAATTTCGGCGAAAGTTTTCGACGGAAACATTTTCGTTAAACTTTTTGAGAAAAAAAAATTTCGTCGAAATTTTTAGCGAACACATTTCTATCAAAAAATTTCGACTAAATATTTTCGTCAAGTTTTTTGATAAAGAATATATCCATCAAAATTTTCAACGGAACACATTTCTGTAAAAAAAATTCGTAAAATTTTTTGACAAAAATATTTCGATAAAAAGTTTTGACAAAAAAAATATTTTGTCTAAATTCTTTAGAGAATCTAAATTTCGTCGAAAGTTTCAAATGAAACATATTCCTCAAAACAATTTCCATTGAAAATTTCGACGAAACACATTTCCATCAAAAAATTCTGTACAGATTTCAAATTTTAGCGAAAGTTTTCGACGAAAAAATTTTCGTTAAATTTTTTGACAAAAAAAAATTTTCGTCGAAATTTTTAGCGAAACACATTTCCATCGAAATTTTCAACTAAATATTTTCGTCAAGTTTTTTGATAAAATATTTCCATCAAAATTTTCAACGAAACACATTTCTATAAAAAAATTCCGTAAATTTTTTTGACAAAAAAAACATTTTGACGAAAAAAATATTCTGTCAAAATTCTTTAGAGAATCTAAATTTCGTCGAAAGTTTCAAATGAAACATTTTCCTCAAAATAATTTCCGTCAAAATTTTCGTCAGAACACATTCCCATCGAAATTTTGAACGAAAAACATTCCGTCAAATTTTTTTGACAAAATTCTTTTTTCGTTTAAAACATTTGATGGAAGAAATCATTTTCGTCAAAACTGTTGACGGAAACTAAATTTCAATAGAAATTTTTTTTTTGTAAAAATTTCGACGAAAGATTATTTTTGTGACAAAATTTTGTGAGAAAACCAAGTCAAAAACATGTCAGGTCAGATTTGACCCAGTTCAGAAACCAAGTCAGGTCAGATCCAAACTGGTTCTGAACTAGTTCAACAAAATCCAATCCAAGTCAGACCTGACTTGGATCAAATTAAAGCGGGTCTGGTCAAAATACCTGACCTATAAAAATCAAGTTGGGTCGAGTCGGACAAAAACCTGACCCATGCACAGCCCTAACTTTGATATCCCATTTTACCGATAAAACAAAATTGATTATTGGAGCATCTATAGCATCGATGCATTCATAAAAATAAGGCCAATATTTGTGATTTTTTCCTTCTAATTTTCTATGGAACATCTACAAGTTGAAACATGAGGTCTCACAATTTCTATCGCCAATAAATATAAATTGTCTAGTACTTCACCAAACTACCTATTTAGAATCTCTCCCCCGATTTTCAAAGTTTACTCTCGACGAGCTTGTCAGTTGTTAGCATATCTCCAAAAAGAGGTTTATTGTAGTGGGCCGGGTACATGTGAGTCCGTTCCAAAAATAGCAAAAAATAGGGAGTGAGAGGAAATTTTAAAAAAAAAAGAGAAATTAAGAAGGAAGAAAAAATTTCCAATAATAGAAAAAGGACCACACAAAAAAAGTGATCCCGAATCACTTTAAAAATTTCCCTCCGAAAAAAGCTTCCAATGATGTCCTTTTTTTACGTGGATTTACTCACCAATATATTTTCAAGCTTTAATGCAACATTTGATTCTATCCTAAGGATTATGTTACATTTCAAACTCAATTCTATCAATCATAATAATTAAATCGGTTGAATAGCTTCATCAAATATTTTGTGTAACATACACAAGCAATTTTGTAAAATTTATCAAAATATTGAATAGAGGAGTAACAATTGCATGTGTATTTTATATGAAATATTTAATGAAACAAGACAACGAATTTAATTATTCAGATATATGGAATTGGATTCGAGAAGTAAAATATTTAGGTTGCAACAAATGTTGTATTTAAAACCTGAAAAGAAATTAATGAGTAAGGGGTGATGAGTATATCCTCTAAAGGAATGACACAATGGAGGCAATTGCTATGTTTTTTTTGGACACATGCACACAACGAAACAAAATATCCAAAACAAATTTAAAAAATCGAGAGAGAATATAAGTAAGAAGTTTGGTGAAGAGCTAGACGACGAAGGAAATTACGAGGCCACTAGATTTTTAGTTTAAAGAAGCTCCATTCAAAATTTTGGATAATCATACAATTTATTCGAGTCCAAGGATAAAAATATTTGAATTAGTATCTGAATAGTTTCAAATATTTTGAATCAATTTTAAAAATTTGCATTTATTATGTAACAATAGCATTTATGTTTTGATTTATTTCTATTCTTTTAGCTCATATCTTGTATTTGTTTCTATCCATTTGTACAACTTATATGCCTTGTATTCACGTATATAATAACACCGCATAATTTTGATTATAGATACGTTATTATTATAGACGTATATACAAGGCATAAGCAGTACAAATGGATAAAAACAAATACAAGACATGAGCCGTATAAATGGATAGAAATAAATACAATGCATGAGCTGTACTTTTACATAATGAATGCAAATATTTGAAACTATTCGGATACCAATATTTGAAACTAATTCGAATATTCTTATCGTTATCTTGTACTCTAATACAATTGAACTTATTTTCGAAGATGCTTCAAATACCCTAATGATCAAATTCATTTTATTGGTAAAAAATGATATCCAACACATGTACACAATGTTGTTGGAGATAATGTCTTATCTCACAATAGTTCCATCTCCGTTCCTCCTCATCCAAATGTTCCTTATCCTATTCACACCAACGGAACAGAAATTACATCGGGTATTCAACACGAATTAATTTCGAAATACAGCAAAGGAAAACAAGATTACAGGACAAGAATTTCACACAATGTGCTCAACCAATTAGTTTCATAAATATCAGGCATTCACACTGATCAGACCAGATATGGAGTGGGCTGGCCAAACTGTATCACACACGGTTGAGATATGGGTTTTAGTGCTTGGTCTTGGGCTTTTAGTCAAGATGAGATCAAACTGTGTATCTGCCCTTTGCAGTAGCGTGTTAAGTTTGACTGGGGTACCTGCGCAGACACTCCGATACTTAAGTCTATCAGAGGCAGGTGATGTATGTTGTTAAATGTAAATGATGATCGTACCTGGGTGTTGAACCCTTTGTTTTTATAGTAGTTATGATGCCGCCTTAGCAAGGCGGCTTGTCTTCTGATTGGCCAAGTTTGGGTTGCAAGTCAGTAATAGGATCTGAGTTGTCTTATCTTTGTTAGTGTCTAGTTTAGAGTCGCGGTACTGTCGGTTGCTTATTGGCATAAAAGCGCGGTGGGATTGCCTTGGACGTTAAGTTTGCTTACTTGAGGGGGTTTCATCCGCGATATGGTTATCGCGGCTTGTCTGTCGCGATGAGGGCATTGCGACTTACGCGCGATATGTCTGTCGCGCTTGCTTTGGATCCTTGGTGGGTTGGGCTTTTTCGTATGTCATTGGACCTATATTTTATCCGGATCACACACAATTTCAGATTAGGAACAGGATTGGTCATTCCATTCTAAGCCATTTCGATTCTGCAAAAGTCAGTTGTATGTACCAAACGAACCTTTAGGTGTTTGCAAAAGGTACCGCTTATCAAATTGGGTAAAACTAAGTAAATTTTTTGAATATTACTATAATGCACCATTATAAGATGAGTTAATGCCATCAAAATTTTTTTACATATACTGACCAATCTTCACAATAATAAAACATGTTACATATACTGACCAATTTTTTTTACATATACTGACCAATCTTGACAATAATACCCTTTTTGAAAAAAAAATTACTATAAATTTTTTGGGTCTTGCCACTTTTCGCAAAAACTGAATTAAAATTCATCTTGACAATAATAAAACATGTTGATTGAACTTTAATTAAATCTTTACTCAAAGCCGAAGATGGAACACAATTTCTAGATATGCAAAGCAACAAACATGTCAGACACAAGATTGACTAACTATCAAAAGGGTAATAGTATAAGGGGTTACCTCAATGTCAATTACACCTCAATAATGTGAGAAGTTAAGTCAATCTGCAAGAATCATAAACATTTTAGTCATACGATGTATAAAACAGGGTATTTGAATGGTGTTCAAAACAGTTTAGGGTCAAAGAGGGTTTGTGAGAGAAGCACGACGCTGGGCTTGGGTTTGCACTTTTGCATCTCTGGTCGCTGGATCACCATGAAAGCAAGAGGTTTGCACTATTGTATAGCTATTGGACCTAACTGTCGTTGATGATTGACACACAGACCAAACCAACTGATCCACACAAAACAGGTTTATTCTAGCCTATTAAATTAACATACTCTTTTGATATGATTTCGTGTAACCCACAGAAGGATCCATTCACTGTACAAACTATAGAAACAACTTTTTCCCTCTAGAACGTGTTTGTGCATTGTGTTCATTAAAAAAAAAAAACACTATATTGAGATAAAAAAAAATTCTTACTATTTATTTTGGAATATCGGTTCATTCTTTTAAAAAATAAAACTATTTCAAGTTTTAATAATTTCAGTTCCTCAAATTAAAAAATAATAATTTTTTTTTTTGGAAAGCAATCAGGAAAGAAAAAAAAAAATACTTTTAATGATGTTATGATATACACCCAAAAAAACGTACAGCAGAAAACAAAGATTATAGTTTAGATATTATAAAAAGTTTGAAGGATGAAAAATCTTGCAATTATTAAGAAAAAAAGATACAGAAAATCCTGATTCTAAAATGAGTCGGTTTTATAAAAAGTGCAGATATTAATCTTATTTAACAAGCTTACTTACACGTGACAACCCCGGGGTGCACCACGTGGCCGAGACTTCTAGCGTATCCGAGAGTTCGAAGCCTGGAACATCCTCCACTTCCAGTACCTTCTAGTTTCTAAAATTTCCAAACACTGAAGCTCTTATAAAAGCAGCACTTGATACTTGACAAGGCCATAGCACTATAGTTAATTTGGAGCAATAATTAAAGTAGAACAATGAAGCCCATTGATGACAAGCAAGAGACAGTGACGTTGAGAGGCGTGAGCCACGACGAGGAAGGTAAAAAGAGGGTTGAGAAGACAGAGCTCAACACCCACAACATAGATACCATCAGATACGTTGAGAAGAAGCTCATCAATAAGGGTATCCATCGTTTGGAGCGCCACCCTGTCGACGGCATCGGCATCGGCAGGCCACCGCCCAAGTCTGGACACGGCGGTAAGTTCACGTGGGAAGGCCCTGCTGGCATGGCGGAGAACGAGATGATGGCGGCGCCGGCGGCTATAGATGAGAAGGACCCTAACTATGTGGATGAAGAAGAAGAAGAAGAAGAGGAGAAAGATGTAGAGGGGTTGGTTATTGGGGAGGTTGAAGTGCCCAAGGTTGCTGAGGAACGTGAAGGTGTTGCTAGGGTTGACGTTGATCCCCGCTTGCAAGTTACCTAAGCTCTTAGCATGGATTGATTTGTTCCAGATTTTCATACATGAGTGTTCTTTGCTCTTTGATAGTTTCGTGTAATTTGGGTTTTGATGGACTTGAACTTGTAATTATCAATAAGACTAGTGAAATGTGAAGTTCTTTTTTTTCCGACACAAATTGCAGACTAGTTACTTCATTTTGTATGACTTTTATAATATTGGTTGGTGCAGTTTCAGTTTTGCATTTTAAAGGGTGGATGATGGTCACGGGAAAAAATTATAGTTATATTCATACATTTTTTATTGAAATCTGATAAGTCAGATTTAGTATTTTTCTTAAATTTATAAGAAAAAGATTATCAATATAATCTATCTCATTATAAAAGTGAATAATAATTTTTATTTCTCTTCTTTTGTTACTATTTAATTTCTTATATAATTATGTCATCTTTTTTTAATATAAGACGATTTATTTTTGGAGTTTATATTGTTACTTTTTCTACAATTATTTATTACTGAACTGTCCAGTAAACTATATACTTCTGAAAAAAAAGGAAAACTTCAAAAAAAATTCCTATAACTTTTCTCATTCTCATTTCTCCCTTTTCTTAAATTTTGAACCATTTATCACTTTGTCTTAAATTTTTTTATTATTTATCCTCCTAAGTGAGAGGGTAAGCGATAAAAAAAACTTTAAGTCAAGGGGTAAGTGATAAAGAAATTTAAATAAGAATGTAAATATTCAAAAAAATTACGAGGGATAAGTGATAATTGAAAAAACTTATAGGAATTTATAACTGAACAGTCCAGTACACTATATATTTCTGAAAATATATAGTTATAGGGATAGGTTATTCTGCCTACTCCCATTTTACTTACTTTTGCTTACTCCTTTCATTATCATTCGATTACAATTTAATTCAATGATAGAAATTTACTGTATAAAATTAACCCTTCTACCCCTTCCTCTCTCCCACTACCCTCGCCTCGCCCTTTCTCTCTACTTCCCATTCTTTCTTCCTCCGCTGCAGCAACCATCCTTCTTCTTGTTTTTTGTGTTTTTTTTTTAAATTGCAATCATCCTTCGGGCGATATGAATGACAGATTCAAATTAGATGAAATTGATAGATTGAAAATCAAAAGGCAACAAGATAAATTTGATGGGGGTATCAATGACTAATAATGGTTTGGAAACTTAAATCTGGATTCAGATGATTTTTTTTTCTTTTGGATAAACTGGACGATCATTTCTTGTGATTCATAAACGAAACATATCAAAGGAAAAAGGAGAAGACGCAACAGAAGGGCAAAAACCTAGTTTATGCGGCACTATTTCAGCGAGTGGGAGTATCAGTGTTGGTGTGTAGAAGGTATGCCTTCGATTTACGATTTGAGTATTGAACATTGAGAACCCTACAAATGGAACTCGCTCACTGACTCCAACACCTTTACAATCATATCATTCTGATAGCTACAGTCACTGACTTAATCAAATTCCCCAAATAATTACAAGAGCAAAGTTTAAACATGTCCATTAGCCAACATCAGCGATAATCAAAATAGCTACAATTGCGCGTTCGATTGGGAAGCGATAATGGACAAAAAATATAGGTATAGCTTAGAGAAAGAGAGAAAGGGAAGGAGAGAGAAAAGACCTAGAAGGAAGTAAGGAGAAAAAGAGTTTATTTTATTTTGCAGATATGGACCGTTAGATTAAATTGTAATAGAACGGATAGGCAAAAGTAAGCAAAATGAGAGTAGGCAGAATAACCTATCGCATAGTTATAATATTGATGTATTTCTAAAAATACATAATAAATATATTTATTATAACTATTTATTTTCGAGAGTATATAATGAACCGCACTTCTTATCATTTGGATTTTGCATTTTCTGTACTTATTAGTCTGTTTTCTCTGTCATATAAACAATTAAATGTAAGATAAATATTCCTCTGTTAATGAAGTCTTATTCTAATTTTCCAAGTGCTTGTTTTTTATCATCGTCATTTATTATTGATAAATAATATTGGTCTAGTTTTTCATTCCGAGTTTGGAGAATGGAATTAAACTGCTAAAATATGTAAAATTCGATATTGAAACTACAATTTCTGATTGATATGAGGCGAGATGGATAATAAGCTCAGTTGAAAAGGTAAAACTTTAATGTATGTATTTTTCATTGACAAACACTCAACTTTATTACTCGTTGATTCTTCTGATTAACAGAAGAGTGTCTTGTTTTAAGAAAAAATATATGAAAAGGAAAACATTACATTTTATATAAAGTTTCCTATAATAAATTTCATATTTTTTATCTTACAATATTGCCATCATATGTTAGTAACGCGAATCTCCCAAAAAACAAACTAAAATGGATGAAGTTTAAAAGAGCTAAAAATAGCCTGAACATGGAATGGAAACTTTCCTCTTCCAAATAGAAATCTCGAAAAACGTATTTTAAACTTCTAATTTAATTTGAAAATCCTTAAAATCAAAGACTTTTATGGGCATTCGTTAGAATTTATTGTTTGAAAATTTGTGTATTTTGTCTCTATATCTTTGATATCTAATTTACTTTTGTCAGTAATTTATATTCAGAAAAAACATGCCACGTAAATTGTTAAAACAGAATTTGAAACATTTTCAACCACATTCTTCTATTTAAACAAAACTTTTGGAAGTAAAATTTAAACAGGTTCAGATAATAATGGAAAACTTTGGACCTTCATCTTTCCCGTCATTAACTGTATAGAATAACCGTAAGAAGATCTTGGTTTCTGAACTGCATAACTGTGCGGAAGTCAATAGTTAGATTGGGCTGGGTTCAAGGCGCTGGGTCAGACAGCTTCAAAATGAATGCGGGACCAGCACTTTAGTTAACTCCACGTAGTTTTGTTGAGGTGGCACACACATATATAGGTGCTGCTAAGTGCTAACTATGGTTATTACAAAAAAAAAAAGTGCTAACTATGGGTATTGCCATTTTTACCTTTAATATGATCTTATTATTTAAGAATATATAGGTGAACATTCAAATTCCATAAATTTTATTTTAATTAAATATTTTATTAACATTTTTATATTATATTTTGTAATATGTTCTTCACACCAAAGTTTATTATTCTCGGAGAGTAAATAATATACAGGTTTCATGGACATATGCAAAAAAATTCTATACTGTCTAATTACTTATTAATAAAATGAAATGGTAAGGATTGAAGTCACGAACACTTCACAAAAATTAAATCATTAATTAAATTCAAAACTTGAGCTATTAGGTGAAGGTTACATTAATAGTTTTATCTTTTTGTATCATATTTTCTTAACACTTTTGATATATTTTATTATACATCCTTTAATGTACTTTTTGGTATCCATCTATTTTTTTTAATAAGGATATCCATCTATTTATATATAATATCAAATTCTGTCCTACAATATTTTTACATGGCCTTTTTCCCCTAATTATTTTAATTTGTTGCTTTACTTATTTTTTATTAGAAACTTTTTATTTGTCTTATTTGTATCTTTCTTAACTTCTAACACTCTCAATCTTCGAAAAAATTATTAATTGTTTTTCACTTTTTTAATTATTTTTCTTAATTTTTTAAACAAGTAGCAATAAAAAGGGAATCACTTTTAATTAAATCAGAAATAATATATATTATTAAATATGTTGATATTGAATACATAAAAGAATATGTTTTAATATAATACCCATATTACTTTTTACTTATTTATAAATTTTATTGTCTTCAAATCTTTCGTTTATAAGTTATGATGGAAAGAGTATTTAAATAATATGAATTTCATTTAATTTACTTTTTCATTCTTCAATGAACCTTTCATCTCATAAATATAGCTATTTTATTATTAAATATATTTAAATTTTACTGATAATATTAGCATAAATTGTGTCAAAGTTTTTATAAATTTATGTGATGATAAGTTAAATAGTACATGATGAAGTAAATTTATATTTTAATACAGTTTGAATTATTTTATTGGGTGAAATAATAAATTTTCTAATGAAACAAATTTAAAAATAATGAAGTCTGAGTATTGAAAGTTAATTAAATTAATGTTCTTGGATATTCCGGTTTACACCTGATCATCAAAATTTAAAAACCATTGTTCATATAAATTTCCTTAGATATATAAACAAATCAAACGAGAAATAAAATCTTATTACTTTATTTGAATTAAAAGCCAAGTTTAGATATGTGTGTATCTTGAAATGTATTTAACAACACTATTAGTTATTAAGTGAACACTGGTAAAATTATCTTATATTGTATATACATTTATATTGATTTACTTTGAACTAAAACTTTTTTAACCAAACTTTTTGTTTTAAATATTTTGATTATATAATTTTCTTAAAACTTCTGATTGAAGTATGCATTAAATGTTGATTTATTAAATAAAAATCTCATTATTATACATATTAATTAAAAAAAAAAATAGCACGTGTAGTTGATACTGGTAGATATCGAAAGCATATTATTTGTAGGGTTGTATATCACGTACCCTCCATTTATTTTTCTTTACATAATATATAAGTATCCGTTGTTGTTAGGTTTAGGTGCGTTTTAGGGACGTTTTGGGGTGTACAGTTTGAGAGCAGGAAAAGACAATATTGGATAGCAGAAGAACTATCAATGTTAAAGACTGTTAAATGGATCTAAAGTTTTTGAAGTTCTTGGGACTAAAATAATCAGTTTCAGGTGAGCTTTCTATTACATTAAGGGTCTTGTTCACAAATGAACTTAAAACTTGTTATTTAAGAAGTTTGAAGTTTGACCGGTTGAAGAATTGAATTATAAAAAGAACCTGTGGGCTGTTACACAGTCTTTACTTTGAGATGTTACGGAATTTTCAATGTGGTTGTAATGTCATCTTGCGCTTGCCACTAAAGGTTATGAATGGAAATTTGTTAAACGGAGGAACATGCTTGACACTTGACAATGATTGAGTTGCAAAACCAGCTAGGAAAGGATTAATGATTGGATTGCAGCTGGCACTTTACATAGTTTTAACCATGGTTTTTTTTTTTTTTTTTTTCCTTTTTTAACCACCAAAAAGGTATTCGAAGCTTTTTTATTACTGGTTTCTTGCTAGCGACACATCACATTTGTCTTTTGTACTATTTTGAAATCGAGTCATGTACCACGTCTTCCAATTTGTTAGCTTCTATGACAA